AATTTAATATACATTATATTATTATATAGAAAACGGATTGAGAGTTGAGATTTGGAAGTACAATATACTATCAAAAATAAAACATATCATACTGCGATTCCAGGACTTTTATTCAGATAAACAAATTTTTAAAACAAAAAAATAAATATGTCTTATAACTGTAACAATAATATATATTATTGTTACATGACACCTATGTATGTGTCAATTCCGTAGTAGGCAATAGTGGGATATTTATGCTGAGATAAACATTGTTAATGATTGTGAGGCCTGTGGCCAATACGCACTGTTTATCGAAAGGGCAGTTCGAGACTGACCAGCAATAAACACGAACTCACCAAAAAACATGAACTCACCAACACCGGGATTGTTTACCACCATCTACATTTTGTTAAGTACAATGTACAAACCAAAAATATATTTTGAACAGAGATTTATAAACCAAACGTGTTTTATTTATTGATAAGATCCCACATACCGTGTTCTAACCCCCCAGCTATGAAAAATTTATCCATAAGGACCAGAAAACCTTCCCTGGATAACTAATATAGTAATTAGGTTCCCCAGCCACGATACATAACCATCTTATGTGTAGAATACGTGTCCAAACATGTTTATACGATCGTCATCGAGGAATCGATGTGACAGGGAGAAGACAAATAAAAACAACATGATTATTGATTATTATATTGCTGTTAGAATATAATATGTAAGCCTAGTGAATGTGGTGAGCATTGCGTGTACGTTATTGCCGTGCACGGAGTACATACAAACATTACAAACACACTTATATTTAAATTTTAAATATATTATTATATCGACGCGAATACGCGATACGTTTCCGCATGTGTATATTATATATAGTCTGTGTCCACGGCGACTATGTAACAGACCTTTCCATTGGCCCCAAGATACGACTATTATACACGAATAATAATAATACGAAAACAGGACGTGCGGTGGTTTTAGCGTTGTCTGTCGGATAAAGTGTATACATTCTTTGATAATAATGTAATATGTACATATATATAATATATTCGGTATATACCAGAGTGCAAGTTACGCAAGTATAGCTGTATATATATTTTATGTATTATATACGAGTTGCAATGAAGTATATTATGTATAACTATATATATAATATGTGTGTGTGCGTATGTTTCAACGTGTTTTATCTTATAATAGGTAAAATAATAATATACATATAATATGCGTATATTGTATATTATATGTGCAAAGTTTCATTTATACGACAAAGATTTTTTTTTTAAATTTTTTGCGGAATTCAACACTGTAGCCGCAGAGGGAGGCGAGAGTCTCGAAGCCCCTAATATTTTCGAATGCGTGTTACTATTTTTATTACATTACCACGCGATGCGTTTTTATTTCTATTCTCCTACACCTCCCCCCCCCAATCCCTATCATCAGCATCGGTTTTCTCCGACCGGTTAATGCCCGGAGAGTCAGCGCAGTGCAGGCGGTTGAAATCGGAACCCATTCCGTCCGTCTGCAGCATGAACTGAAGGGGAAAAAATCGTGAACTCGAGAACCGGCTCTCTAAACCGCTTCGGTTCAAGTACCTACTGACTTAGTTTCACGTCGTCGGCGGTGGCCTCGCGTCGGAGTCGTCGTAGTCCATGTGTATATAATATGTTTAAATAGATGTATCTGTATAAACGTATTTTTTTAACCGCTATGATTTTATAACAATATTGTTTCGATTTGTTTTCGATACCACATCGTCACGAATAAAACAAAATATTACAATATGACCATCATATTTTAAACTCATATGTTATGTTATTAATTTATCGTCAATATTATATATTATTAAACTCTATGCATTTAATTGTACTCAAATAATTTATTGACGACATTACCTCCCTCCCCCCATTACCATCGTTTTATATGATAGATGTGATATCGCATCATAACGTTGATTGTACAAATTTTCTAGTACGATAACACTAGCAGCATATTATTTTACTTTTCCGGTTTCCAACTAAAATTTTTTTTACTTATTATTATAGATTATATCGCTGTAGACGTATATCATGAAATATAATTTTTTACAAATTACAATAAATGAGTTTTTTGTGGAGAACATTTTAATAGACGATCGTACTTAAACATTGTTATAAATATGACCGCTGAAACAAAATATAAGTTCTGTTGAATAATGTAGGTATAGAAAATATCAGATTGTTAAGATTATACCACAGTGTATTGTATTATGTATTACATATTATATTATAGGTAATTACTTGTATAGAAATCGCAGAAACCGTGGTAAGTCGGTAACGATGGTTGATGACCACGACAAAAACAATTAATTCCAGCCATGCAGTAGCACTAAGTAATATTATAAATCATTATCGTAATTCGATATGTGGTATCCGTAATCGAAGATCGATTTGTTCGTTAATCGACAACAAACTAGCACTTTTAATAATACCAAATTACCAAGGTATAATATGCTTTTTACTTATACATACTTATAAATTATAATATAGTAAATTATATATGCATTGCATACACATTGTTTTGTCGTATAAGTAAATCCAGGTTAGTAGTTAAACATAATCTGTGCGTTTTTTAAGGCACGTACTAGATTATGATTAAAATAAGTAATAATAATCAGTTTAACTACATATTTCGGGCACGTAGAAAAACATCCTATAAAACGATTTTAATGTACAATGTTTCAATATCATTGCCATTGTACCTACATGCAAAGATGAAAATAATCTTAATATATTTTTAAGTTAATAATATCAATATACATATATTTTACACCGTTACCTTCATTTTTAAAAATGATTTATTCCTTAAATTTCATAATAAATAAATAAATACATAAATAAATTAGCATATTTAATCTTATTTTATTATTGTAGATGATTTAATGAAAGCTACCCGTATTTAAATATTTTATATATTCTAAAAATAACTTTCATAATTTAATCTAAATAGGATGCTGTACATTATAATATTAACTTCGTATGTTTTATTCATTAATACTCAATCATAATTATTAACTCAGATAAATGATAATTACAGCCTTACAAACTACAAGTCAATTTTTTTTTTTTTTTAAGAATAACCTTTTCGACAATGTAATTAATTTTAATTTTACTAAATTTCGTTGGTAGATAATAAATAGTACCACAGGCGTAATACTCTTATATTTTCGCATAACGTTTCCAGCTCATAATCCCGTATAATTATGGAAAATTTGATACGATGAGGAGAAAACAGACCTATATCGGTGTGTCGAAAATTATTTTTTTATAGTAAAGAAGGCGATATAATATAGAGGATTACCTACACTTTCTACAGTCGACTGGCTGTCAATTTTTTTCTCATTAGCAAATCAACATGTACCAGACCTTTAATAGATCCACAGCCGTATAGTAATTACGGGGTATCTGTGCAATGATTACTTACCACGTGGTGATGTACCTACTACAATATACACGTTTTTCTCTAGAAATTTAACCGGTCTGTGGTGTATATAATAATATGTAACATCGAATACGTGTGTGTATATTATAATCTCCTTATTGTTCATCGTTTTTAACGTTTTGTCGACTAATTTTTTATAAGTATATTTTATAAGGATATTATATTTTTATCAATACTATACAAAATTCTAGTAGTTACATCATATTGAGTTGATCAAAATCAACATTTATTCGATTGTCCAATTAACTACGGTCTGCAATGAGGAGAAACTCGAAATTATATATTTTACTAAATACAAACACTACGCGCACCTATCGAGTACCAATGACGAATTTCTGCAACTGCAGTACAATTAATATTCTAGCAAACTGTCAAACATTGAAGGAAAAGTGACACATCAATTTAATAATATAGGTAGGCCGCTTCGTGTGGAATAAATATTCTATAGTCTATAGAAACGTGTTTCACAAAAGATTAAGGTAGGTAATTGAAAAAAAAGTTAAAAAACTTATTCATATATACATATAACGATCCAAAACTTGCCAAATTTATAAAATAATGACACAAGGGACTTTTGTGTGCAAATAGTCCAATAGTACAGTCAATATGTTTTCTAATACCTCAATAATCGATTTGGACCCAATTTACATGAACTTTGAACATAAATATTATTATATTCATAATATAATATGCTGTCTATATAATAATATTATTATGCACACGGTTTTTGTCGCCTGATTTTCAATGTCCCCAGTGCAGTAGTATGGTAATAATATCAGTTGTCGATACGGACGAATCGATCGGCATAACCACAGATGGATATTATTGTACCGCGGTCGCCGCGCGCATTTCGGTCCAACGACGTTTTTTGAATCGATACAGAGTACAAACTTAACAATATATATTATAAATACACACACACATATATATATATATATAAGATAATGATATGTTCGTTTTATTCTTTTCGTTGTACATGAACGTTATTTAAAAGAAAAAATAATATATAATGACACGTTACGGTTTACATTTTAATAAGGTTCCGAGAATCGTGTAAAAAGAATTTATAGAGCGAAACGTGGCGGTGCGGCGGTGTGTTACGGTTTATTGTATACATTTTGTGTGTGTGTGTGTGTGTGTGTGTGTGTGTGTGTGTGTGT